GACTTGCGACGGAGTTGAAGTGGCTATAATAACACACATGTATGTGCCCAGCAGCAAAAAATACGGCAGTTCCGCCCCTGAAAACATTGCATCTGCGTGCTGGTGTAAAAGCAAAGTTTTACCCAAAACGGGAGAAAGTATCATGACTTTGTTCACCTCTCCTCATGCCGGCCACCCAGGCGGCTCCGTTGATCTCCACGTAATCCACGTAGGACATGACCTCAACCTCCCGAGTCCGCTTGTTCCTCACGCCGTATGTCTGGGGAGGGACGGCCGGGTGGGCGGGGCAATAAGTACATCATAAATACAAGTAACTGTTTAGTTGGTTGTTGTGGTTTTTTTCCCAATAATAAAGCGTTGTCATAGTAGAGGTTTTACGGCGCTCGCAACTGCATAAATTCATATGAGCGCCTGAAGATTAGAGGGGTTAAAAGAGAGTAACAACAACCAAAAAAAAAAAGGAGGGGGACATAAGGATGATAGATGTTTTATAGGAAAGAAGAAGAAAACCACACAGGAACACTCGCCAACCACCCATTAATATAGCTTTAACAAGCGTTTTACTGCACTTGCAACACAAATAGGTCGTATAAAAGAGCCGGGAGCAGAGAAGTTACAAGAGATTAACGTTCAAATAAAAGAAGGAGGAGAGATAAGGACGATATATTAACTGAATAGGAAAGAAGGAGGAAACCACACCAGAGCACCCGCCAACCACCAGCGTATGTGTTTAGTTGTTGTTGTTGGTTTTTTAAAATATAGTTTTAGCACGGGTTTTACCGCACTTGCAACACAATAAGGCCATAAGTGCCGAAGATTAGAAGTGTTACAAGAGAGTAACAAACACAAAATAGGAGGATAGATTTAAGGACGATAGATGTTTGATAGGAATAGAGGAGGAAACCACACTAGAGCACCCGCCAACCATCGGCGTACATGTTTAGTTGTTGTTGTTGTTGTTTTGGTTTTTTTCAATAATATAGTCATTTTTAGTAAATGTTTTACGGCTCTTGCACCACAAATAGGTTGTATAAATGCCGAAAAATGTGTTTTTTAAAAGAAATTAACATTCAAAGAAAAGAAGGAGGAGAGATAAGGACGATATATATTAACTAATTGATGCATAGGAAAGAAGGAGCAAACCGCTCTTGAGCGGCCGCCACCCGCTTACTGTGTGTGTGTGTGTGTGTGTTTGTTTGTGTGTGTGTGTGTGTGTGTGTGTGTGTGTG